TCCCCAGACACTGGGTAACACACCTCTTTAAAAGGCATCTAGAACTTTATCCTCAAGTTAAAATCCACTTACTTAGTCCTAAGAAACTCTCCCTTCAAAAGCAGGTTTCACAGCTGTCAGGATTTGGGTATTTTAATTTCATGATTCTCTCTCGCGAATATATATATTCGCAGCTATATATAACCACAGCTCTAGAGATCTTCTTTCCCAGTTTTCTTCCAAACGTATTCCCTAGAGATTTTATTTCCTTAAGAGCACCCTTTCCTCCTTTCCAGAAGGCAAATGAAAATACTGCCTGTCACTAGGCTCCTACACTTGTCTTTAAAAGCCCCTCCTCACACCACCCCCTCCACCCCCATTTCTAGCTACATGCAATTATTATTCAAAACAGCTATTTCCTGGTCTCCTACTATTTCACAGAGCTTCCAGGTTGTTTTTCAGTTGATATTCACTGTAATTCTACTATGTGAGCCCTGGGAAGCCGCAACAACAGCTTGGAACAGGGCAGGGCTGGAAGCCTGACATTTAAACAAGGATTTCAATGCTCTCGGCAGTTAGTAAAGTAAAACAATCCAGAAATGCTTAAGGTAATAATTTGAAGTTTCCCTCAAACCTGCTCCAAAGGTATCAGTTGAATTGCACTGATTTTTAAACTTTTATGACAGTGACTCTTAGTTGAGAAGTACAGGCATCCATATAAATATCCGAAACATGTTTCAACAAATACTATAATCCTTTTACTTCATGGGCAGAGGCAGCAATGCTTTCTGTTCTGTTCATTCTATTTAATTTTTGTTAGTGCTACTAGGTTGAACCCTATGAAACTGGCATCTTAGTAGTCAACATGGGCGATTTCATTCGGTTCAACGTATTTGTGCCACTAAAGTACTTTCATAATCTCCTGAATGGGCTGCATCCCATAGTTTGAAAAACATTGTTTACTGGATTACTGTTATATTTAAAATTATGGTATTGAAGTTCACCTAATATGGCATGGACATCCATACAGGCACGTTATAGCTCCACCTCACTTCTCAAAGGTTTCATGGAATCCCTCACACATACCCCAGCTTAGGTAACTGATCCCCACTCAAGGCACTTAGATTTCTTAGGAACCTGGAAAAGCAGTGCACTTTCCAGTTGACCAGACCTGAGTTTAAATAGCTGTCCAAGCTCCTTAATTCTCTGGACTCCATCATCACATCTACGAAAAGAAAACAGACCTCTCAGGGTTGCCGGGAGGATGAAGTAGAAAATGTGGAGTGCTTTGTAAACAATTACACAGAAGTTAGCCATTATCTTCAGCTGGTGCCTGACTTCTCCAAGCATCAGAGTCTCCCCTGTGTTGCCTAATCACATTTACCCTGTAGTAGGCTAGGAGAAGGGCTCAAACTAAGACAATAAGGCTCACCTTTCTAAGTTCACAATCTGCCTAGTCCCTGGCCTCAGTCTCCTCACTTTTTTCTGGACTTGAGCGCTAAGGTAAAGAACCAAACTCTTGGATAAACTCATTCATTCAACAACAAATATTTGAACATCTACTATATGCCAGTCATTGTGCTAAGCACCATGTAAGCAACTTTCTCATCCACAAAAAGGAAGAACTGCGCTACTTAACAGAAATGATGGGCATATTGGGTGTAATAATTCTTTGTGCAGGTCTGTACCCTGCCCTCTAACGGACAGGGTCCTCCCTGGTAATTGGGACAACCCAATGACGCCCTATCACATTTTGAAAATGCCCTACGTGGCATTTTCGCCCTTGATGGAGAACCCCACCGCCCACCCTCTCCGACTCCAGGTGCCAGAGTAAGGGGGAGGCCTTGTAACTGGCAGGTTCAGGATGACGCCCGAGGCCCAAGATGAGGAGGATCTGGACCATGTTTTCCGGGAACAGAGCCTTACACTGGCCAAGGGATGAACTCATCAACTATCTTGGGGCTCTCAGTTGGTTCTGACTCCTGCATCAGAACTGTTACTTCCTATGCAGCCAAGACACAACCCAGGAACTTCAGGTTTCCATTGCCAGTTGAGCCTGGGGTCCCAGGGAGGAAGGAATGGCGGTGCCCTCGTCCCTCAAGCCCTCGGTATGCGAAGGGTTAACGCAGGTGGCCGCGCAGAAGTCCCCATCACCGCTAGAGGGACCTTCGCCGAGGCTCCGCTGGGCGACTTCGCATCACGTGGGATGAGGGCGGGACCAAGCGAGGGGCCCGCCAATAGGCTGTGCTGTCGGTGGGCGTGAGAGCCAATAGGAGCAGGGCGAGGAGTCCCGGGACTAGGAAGAAACGGCGGCCGGGACGGGGTTACGGGGATCATGGGCCTTCTGACCATCCTGAAGAAGATGAAGCAGAAAGAGCGGGAGCTGCGACTACTCATGCTGTATCCTCCCGGACGCCGGAGCCGCCAGGGTAGCGGGGACCCCGCCGGGCAGGCGGCACCAGGCGCCCCCTACCGGGCACGAGGTGCGCGGCCGGCCGGCCCGTCCCAACTGCCCATTGTGCGTCACGCACGTGGGCACTACCAATCACTTGCGGCGGGGGGCCGGGAGGAGGCCGTACCACCGATTCGGGGCGGGGGAACTCCGTTTCCAAAGCCAAAGTTTGGGCCTAATGGCGCAGCGGCCGCACCAATGTAGGGGTAAAGTGGGTCCTGGTGGTGACTCGGACGCCACCACCCGTTGGTCTGGCCGAGCTTGCCGCGATCCTCCGGATCTCTGACCTACCCCTGTCCGTGGGGTTCGGGTCGGGCCCGGGCCCCGCCCTCAAGCTCGGAATCCCGGGGGCATGCAGGCACCGCCCTCAGCTCTCGGGAGAGGCGGGCGTGGACTCCGTGGGGTCTTTCGCCGGTCGGTCCAATAGTCCCGTTTCTTTGCTGCTGCACGACCGGTCGTTTTCGGCTGACCTGTTGTAGGCCCGAGGGCCCCGCCGACCTTCCGAGTCCCATTAGCAGGCGTCTGCACTCGTTTGCCCTGCTTTGTGCCAGGCCCCGTGCGGGCTCGGCCATTCTAGAGCTGGGCCGCCCTCACCCCCAGCTCCCCTAGCAGGGAGAGAAGACATGTGCCCAAGTAACTCAAATAATATTCATATCATGTCTGTAAAGAGTTCTTAGAAAGGCGCAGAGAATTCACTCATCCAATAAATATTTTTTGAGCACCTACTGTGTGCTAGGCACTGTCCTAGGGGCTGGGGTAAACAGCAAAATAAAAACAACCCTTACCTTCATGGACATTCTATAATGCTGGAGGGAGGAAGATGTTAACAAAGCAAATAAAATATATGTATGAAGAAGAATGCAGTTTAAGTAAGGTGGTCAAAGAGGGCCGAATTGAGAGTAACAGTTGAGTGAAGACGGGGAGATGAGGGACAAATCATGTAGATACCTGGGGGAAATTGTTTAAGCAAAGGGAACAAATGCCTGGAAGGATGAACTCAAGAGGGTCCTCAAAGGAATGTCAAGGGCAGCGTGGCGGGAAGAGGAGAGTATTAGGTTAGGACAGAGGCGAAGGAAGGGCCTCAGTGTGGGGCCTTTTGGGTCTTGGCTTTTTCTTTAAATGAGAAATGGGGAGGGGAGATGTGATCTGAGACTAGTTAGACCACTGCAGTAACGCATGTGAGAGGATGGTGGCTCAAATAGGATGGTGGCTCAAGGCGATGGAAGTTAGGGGACATTTTGACAGTAGGGCCGCAGTAATTGCAGCTGGATTGGATGAGGGACAGAGAGAGAGAGAAAGAAAAGTCAAGCATGACTGCCAGGCTTCTGGCCTGAGCAATTAGAAGAATGAGGAGCCCCTTGCTTGGGTGGAGACGTGGGCAGGGAGCAAGTTCAGAGGGAAGATGGGAGCTCAGTTTTGGCCATGTGAGATGCCTCTGAGACATCCTAGAAATGTCAGCTAAGCAGCTGGATATAAGGCACCAGCGTCCAGGGGAGCAGCTGGGGACATACACATTTGGGAGTCATCAGCATAAAGAGGGTATTTGAAGCCATGATTCTGGATGAGATCATCAAGAGAGTGGACAGAGAAGGGAACTGAGGTGTTCCTAATCAGGAGGTCAGGGAGATGAGGAGGAGTGGCCGGGGTGTGTCCTGGAGCGGAGGAAGGCACAGGCCACTCTGTTAAGTGCTGCTGATGGAGCAAAAAGATGAGGACTGAGGACTGCCCAGTCATTGGAGGGCAATGCGAGGGTCCTTACTGACATTGGCAAGAGCAGTTGTGGGGAAGCAGTGCGAGCAAAGCCTCATGGGTTCAATTCAAGAAAGAGCAGGAGGACAGAAATGGGAGAGGATGAGTATGGACACGGTTTTCAGGAGATGTGTTGTAAAGGCGGGAAATAAAGGAGTAAGTAAAGGGGAGAGGGATCAAGGGGTGATGATGTTTGCTTTTTCTAAGGTGGGAGAGACGCCAGAGTGTGTCAGCTGAGGGGAATGAGCCAGCGGGGAAGGAGCTGTGAGTGATGGAGTTGGGGGTGAGCGGGTAACCAGCAGCCAATTATCAGGGCCTGAGGCTGGGTCTCAGGAGAGGAGTCCTGTCACCCCCATGTCACTAGTTTGAGTCACTCATCCAAGTCAGGTGAGCAAAAAGGTTGCTGATTCTAAGGCCTGCCCGCCCCCCCTCCTGGCTGCAGACCCCCTTAAGTGTTAGAAGGAAAGAGGATGATGGTTCTCTTTGGCTGCTGAGCTCATCCATTGGTTTGTATACTCAGCAGCAAAGAGTTTGGAATATTCCAGAAACAAAGGCAAGGGTGGCTGCCTTCAGATACTCTTGCTGTTCTCTCTGCCTAGAATGCTCTTCCTCCAATGCTTAAAAAAGCTGGCACCTTGTCGTTTGGGCCTCAGCTCAAGACCCTCAGAGAGGTCTTTCCTAGCGCCTGAGCTGAAGGAAGCTCCTTCAGTGGCCCTCTCTGAAAGCCTTCTTCTTGTATTTCTAACATTCACCAGGACCTGACAGTACCTTGTTTCTCATTGGTTCGCACTCTATCGACTGCGTACTAGAATATAAGCTGCACAAGGGCAGGACTTTGACTCCGGGGCCCCCCAGCATGAGAAGAGGGCCTGGCATTTAGTAGGTATTCAATAAATATTGAATTCAGTGAATTCAGGAGTCTTTGGGCAAAAGGGGATGGTAAGATATTTCTTGATACTTTCACATTTATCCTGGGCCGATTATGGGTCAAGCATGTGCTCAACTGATTTTGATATGAGGTAGGAAATTATTTCCCCCCACCCTGCAGAGCATGGGGTTTCTCCTTAACCTGGCGCACCCCAGCGGCCTGGACAATGCAGGCAAAACAACCATCCTCAAGAAGTTCAATGGGGAAGACATCGACACCATCTCCCCAACGCTGGGCTTCAACATCAAGACCCTAGAGCACCGGGGGTGAGCGGGGTCCCTGCGGACGGGCAGCCCAGAGCAGGGTGGGGAGGGCAGGTGAGGGGCCAGGCTGACCTCCCAGCCACCTCTCCATGCCCAGATTCAAGCTGAACATCTGGGATGTGGGTGGCCAGAAGTCCCTGCGGTCCTACTGGCGGAACTACTTTGAAAGCACTGACGGCCTCATCTGGGTGGTGGACAGCGCCGACCGCCAGCGCATGCAGGACTGCCAGCGGGAGCTCCAGAACCTGCTGGTGGAAGAGGTGGGCAGAGGGCCTGGCTGAGCGGGGGGGAGCTGGGCTTCCACCAGCATCCAGGCCCCGACACTTTGTGCACATACGTGGACGTGTGAACACCTTCCTCAGCAGATTCCCTGAGGGCTCCATGACCCCAGAGGGACACCTGGAGCAGGGTCTCTTCCTTCCCTGAGCCCTCATCACCTGCCCAGCACCCTTGGGGAGGCAGAGAGACAACCTATATATCTGGTCCTGGGAGGCCCGTGGTGCCCGCAGGCAGGACACGCTGTGGGCCAAGATCTGGGTTCATGTCCCTGTGAGGTCACTGCTTCACCACCCTGAGCTTCAGTTTGCACACCTTGAATCAGGCTTTAGGGAGGATGACTCCAGACCAGCGTGTGAAGCTTTGGAGGCAGCGGAGCCTGGCTCAGGAGTCAGACTAAACTGTGTGACCTCAGGCAAGGCACTTAACCTCTCTGAACCTCCACTTACCTCTAAGATGGGCATTATAATTAGGGTGATCTTTCTTGTCTGCGCCAAAACACTTTTCTTTAAATAAAAATTTAGATTTACAGAGAATTTGCAAAGATAATGAAGAGAGACCCCGTATACCCTTCACCTGGCTTCCCCAGTGTTAACATCTCACATTATCACCGTACATTTGTCAAAACTAAGAAATTAACATTGGAAAGTTACTCTTAAAGAGCTACAGATTTCATTTGGATTTCAGCAGTTTTTACACTGATGTCCTTTTTCTGTTCCAAGATTTTATCCAGGTTACCACACCGCATTTAGATGAAAACAAGGGCACTTCTGAGAGTGAGAGAGGGAGTTGTTAACAATTATGCAGGGACAACAGGCATAAAGAGGGCTGTCCTGGGCACACAGGGACATGGTATAACAGTAGCCACCTCTGGGGGTGTTGAGCAGCTCCAATGAGATCATGGCTGTCACATGCCCAGGCCTGGCACGTCAAGGCCCTCTGTAAGGGCTAGAGCTACCCACCCACATGGAGCGACTCCCAGGACCAACACATATATGAAAATAACTGGAACGAGAGGCCTATCAGGGCAGTGGAACAGTTACAGGGCTCCATGAGTTTGCAAAAGGGAAAGGCCACTTCTAGTAGATTCCATGGCCTCTGGGACAATCGCATTGTTTATGCACATCAGATATCAGATGGAACAGTCTAGAACCACAGCGGGTGAGGGGATCACCTTGTCCATCACCCTCTCCCCATTTAAGGAAGAGGAAACTGAATAATGGAGGAGAAGGGTGCCCAGGGGATGGTGGTCAGATTAGAACCAGGGCCCCAGCCCAGCTCAGGGCTCCCTCCACCCCATGTGTGCCTGGCCTCAGGCAGTGTCCACACTGCCTATCCCCCACTTGGGCCTCTCTCACCACCAGGGGGCCTTGCCCTGATCTTCCAGGTTGGTCTCCGACTCCAGATGCTATGGGCGATTAGATGAGCCAGGCTGCCCTCTGAGCCCCCATACTCCTCTATTTGTCTCCCTCAGCGCCTGGCTGGAGCCACCCTCCTCATCTTTGCCAACAAGCAGGACCTTCCTGGAGCACTGTCCTCTAATGCCATCCGCGAGGTGAGTTCAGGCCTTGACTCAGGCTCACGAGAAAAAGAGGCACGCCTTTCTTTGTTCATTTATTTTAAAAGCATTTATTAGCGCCTGCTATGTGGCAGGACCTATTCAGGGCACTGGGATTCCTAAGACATAGTGGTGCCTCACAGCTGGTGGGAAGGCAGACCTGCAGATAGATCATTCCACAGGATAAGAGCCATGAAGTGTGTGCTTTCTGTGTGTTAGGCTCTTTGCATGGATTCACTCATTCCATTCTCACAACAACCTCATGAGGTCGAAACCACTATCATTCTATAGATCATGAAGCAGGCTTAGAGAGGTTAGGTAGCTCGCCCAAGGTCACACAGCCAGTAAGTAGACAAGCCAGGATTTAAACACAGGCCTACCTGACCCCAGAGTCTGTATCTTAACCATGACTCTAGAGCTTCAGCACCAGCATGAGTAAGAGTGGAGTTAGAATGTTGGTTCTGTCACTTACTAGCTGTGTGACCTTAAGCAACTTGCTTGACCTCTCTGAGCTTTGGTTTC